GCATAGCGTTAGCCAGGGTTGCCACCACCAACAAATTAAATATTTTTACGCGTGACTCGACGGTTTAATCACCGACTTTTTCTTTTGTTACCATAATAATAATAATAATAATGATAATAATAATAACGGTTTGCACGAGTCGAACACGTGTTTTTCTTTTTCAAAAAAAACTTTAAATTATAAAAAAAAATTGGATTAATTTTTTTTTTTTTAAATAACGGCTCTTATTAATTAATTTTTTTAATATCATCATCATCATCATCATCATTATTATTATTATCATTCGAGGTAATAAATTAGGTAGGAAAAAAAAATTTTTTTTTTGTTTTTTTAAATAAATACTGATAAAAATAACTTGTGACGTAAAAAAAAAAAAAAAACTGCACACACGACGTTATCCGAGTTCTTTTATTTTTCACCCTTAAATCATCTGCCCTTTTTTAACCCTAATAGATAGTGACTCATTTTTTCTTTCCCCCCTCTCTCTCTCTCTCTGTTATCAAAAAAAAAAAAAACCCCTAATCATTAACCTAATTTTTTATCATCATAATCATCATTCACATCCCTTACGGATTTACGAAACTAATAATTTTTTTTTTTCCAAATAAAGTTTATTAAAAAAAACGTTTAATTTTTTAGTATTTACACAATTAGTAATTATTATTAGTCATTTTAAACTAATTAACTAAAAAATCAACAGAAACAAACCTTTGATACATACATGCAAAGGTTACTTTAAAAAAAAAAACGTAAAAGTAAAAGTAAAAAAAAAACAGGAAATGAAGGGAACAAAAAAAAATTTTTTTTCCTTCTTTCTTTCTATTATTCCTATCATTATTATTATTATGATTTTAATTTTTATAATTACAACAGGGGCGTGTTAAGCACGTGAAAATAAAAAAAATATATTTATTATATATAAATTTTAACGGGAAATCAAAAAAAAAAAAAAAGAAAATTTATTTTTTTATTATTATTGTTATTATTATTATTATCGGTTAACGCATTCATTTTTTATTTCGTTTTTATAAAAGTCAAGTTAAGTTATTATTATTATTATCGTTTTTTTGTATTGCGTGTTACGAAACAATATCATTATATCTAAAATCAATTTTTCCCCATAAAAATATATTTATTTATAAATATATATTATATTTTTCTGTTTTTAATTGCATAATAATAATAATAATTTGAATTTTTTTTGGGGGGGGGATGATTAAAATGCAATTGAAGGGTCGTCGAAAAAACCACCACATCGTGCAATATTTATTACGGTTTTTCATAAAAAAAAAAAAAAAAAAAAAAATTAAAACGTCCCCTCACGCATTCACCCCATCTGAGTGCAATAAAATTCAAAAAAAAATGTTTTTTCCTAAGAGAGAAAAAAAAAAATTTTTTTTTTATTTTATTATAATAAAAATCATAAAATCCGAGAAACGTGAAAAAAATTTTATTTTTAAAATAATAATAATAATAAATAAATAAATAAAAAAGTTTATTAACAATTATTGTTACGTTGGCAAAATTGTTTTAATTAATTTATTAAAAGAACTTGAATGTAGTAGAATTTATGTATTTTAAATTAAATAAAAGTTTTTTTTTGTGTGTGTGTTGTTTTAGTTTTTCAAATTTAGAAAAAAATTTTTTTTTTTGTTTTTGGCGCCGGAAAAATTTGCTTTCGTAAAACAAAAGAAAAGTTTACAAAGTATTTGTTGCTAATTTAAACAATAAAAAAAATTTTAATTTAATAAAGAAGAAAAAGTTTACTATTAACCTTTTTTTTTGCGTCGGAAATGTTTTGCCAATTTGAAAACAAACACAAAAACACAAACAAACATGATTTATGTTTACATTTGATTTTTACAAAGGCTATTTATTATTATTTTCTTTACTCATAATCACGACAATTCGTCTTATTGTTTACCGAAGCTTTTTTAACATTATTTCCAGGTTTCTACCCGTCGCTCCTTAAGGAATAAATGTCTGATGGATAGGTTTCGTATTGTTATAACCTATGACATCACAACAATTCTTGTAAGTCTCACTGAAACCATCTTATTTGATGGAAACAAGTTATCTCCTGTACTGGGCCTGTACTGAAATAACCAGGAACAGGAGAAGTGAAATTCACAACCTTGTCAAGAACTGACTAAGGTCAACAGTAGAACAAGAATTGTTTTAACTTTGCCTTTATCTTGTTCTCATTTTGCTCTATTTCAATTATGAATCAGTTGTCATATTACTTATGTCAAAGAACTATTTCAATACCTAATTTTCCTACTATTTCCCCCTTTCATAATTTTCCCTCATGCATTTCATCCTCAACATATGCAAGCTACATACAAATTAAAATTTTGTAACTATAAACTTATGCAATCTGAAAGCAGTTGAATTTTACACTAAAAATATTGCAAAATATTTTAAAATGTAAGAGGCAAACATAAGGAAAAGGAGGTGTGGATTTACACTTAAAATCAGGTGTACAGAAATTTTATGTTCACCTGAAACAGAAATTAGTCAATTACAAGTATTTTTATTTAGTGTGACAAAGGTATTCTTACTTCAACTACTTATAATCAGCTCATGAGAGATGTACAATTATTAAATGAAGTCTGTTGTGCCTTTTTGCAATTCTTTACACTGAAATCAACTAATATAAAGGTCCCCTCCTTATTTTGATACAGATTTATGAAGGTATTATACTGTCAATATAATAAACTATGTTGTAATGAGACAAATCTTAAATAATTAGATTCACTATAAGGCATCTTTTAAGGTTTTTTTATTGTCCACGCCTCCTTTTGTCACATGAAACCGTCGACTATTTAAACATAAAATAATATAGTTATTACTAAATAATATAAAAAACTAATTCTTACACAATAAACTAGACTAAATTACAAAACTTTAGATATATACAACTTATAAGTAAATTGTTACATAAAACTATTAAAATTAATTTTAAAAAGTTGACATGACAAACGCATTTCAATCGTGGCACTCTTATTAAAATTATTTATTTATTTATTAATAGTAAATGAATTTCGAATGAAAAAAAAAAGAAAACAAATAAATAAACATGAGGGGCGGCCATTTTTAAATATTGTTATGATCCCATATTTAACGTTCACATTTTTGTTTGTAAACAAAAGTGTAACAATGAAACCATAGACATAAACTCTTGGACACAGAGATACTCTGTGCTTTTGTTTTTTTATTTACTGATATCGTTAGTCTTTTTTAATTCAAATTGTTGTGCGTTCTAAACAAAACGGTAACGAAAAACCGAACTTATAAAAGGTGGCTTGACATCTTAGCAAGCGTTCTTTGGTTCTTGGTACTTTGTTCTTCGTTCATCGGTTTTCTTCTGATTATCTTTGTGTTCAAATTTAACATCTTTTGGCTTGTGTCTAAATCTGAATTAGTGATTTTGTTTACATCTGATATTGTCCACGAAATTAAGTAGTTTAGCCTGTTCAGTTTATGTAAAATAATGTAAATGTTTTATTTCTTTTGCTTAATTGCAATATAATTCTTCTTTCGGTAAAAGTGGATTCGGTTATTGATATAATTTAGAGTAGTATCACGAACGTGGAAGAAGATAACCGTTATGAACCGATAATCGAATCGGACCACGACATATTATTGGCGCAGTCGGTAGGATTATTCTGAGTAATGAGAATAATATTTATTTATTTATCTTTGTAATATCAGTAAGTAATAAGAAAGAGATTACTTGTTTTGTGAATTATGCTTAGAATTAATCAATTTCAATCAATCCCAATCGATTCATTTTATCCCAAGTTTTCTCAGATTTCTTGAGCAAATTGATCCTGAATTTTTCTTGAAGTTAGGGTCTAATTCTGACCCATTAACCCACTATAGTAGATTTGTTTTTCAAGGATTTTCTGGAAACTCAAATAAGTCAAATTTCTACTTACTTTGATTTACTAAAGATTCATTTTAAAATTGGGATAATTCAAATGCTGTTTTGATAGAATCATGCCAAAATAAAAACACTATTGTCCACTTTTTAAAGAAATGTAGTGGTGAATACAAGAACACAAGTGTCAGTCGAGCCATGAACCATGAACTGTGAACCATGAACCAACAAGGTATAACATTTATTTTTCTTAAATTTATCAAAAATTATATAAAACTATACAATTTCATTATATTCAGTTTACACCTGAAGTTTTAATTCTGTGTTTTTTCATAAAGATTAAAATTTATCAAATAAATATTATTTTTATTTAAAGTAGTATAAGAATTGAAAATTTTATCCGAATAAAATAAGAAGATAAATGAATTAAACTAAAGAATTGAGAAAAAGCAGTGAATAAACAACTAACTTTTCGAGGAAGTACTTGAAAGACAAATTATAAAAGAATGAAACCACTATCAACCAGTATGGATCTACTCGAAAACATTAGGCATTCAGAAGAATTCTACAAAGCACATGTATGTAAAAGCAATTTTAATTATGAAGAAGTTAAAATTTGAAATTATGTAGGTGATAATTATGTAGGAAATTCGTATAAAACGAACAAAATGTTTAACACTTGTAAAAGCTTGAATCCATACTCGAGGAATATCATCTCGGACAGAGCATTCTGAACTAGCAAGTTCAGACAACTGTTCATTCTGAACAAGAGAAGACAACAACTTTCTCAACTGTGTAAGAATTGAGAGTAAGAATAAAGAAAAAATGAGAACAACAGGAAAGACGAGTTATTTTTCAAATAATTGATTTTCAAAAAAAAAAAAAAGAGTTCCTCGTTTCCTGGAATTTTGTTTTTTTTTTTTTTTTGGGGGAGGGGGAATTTTATTTAGCAAATAGAAAAACCAATGTTGACAATTTTCTACCGGAAATTTAAACTTGATGGTTTTTGTTTTTTTTTTTTTTTTTTTTTTTTGGGACAATTTTTTTTATATATTTTTTTTTATTTTATTTTGATGTATTGGAAAAATTTGAAATGTATTGAAAATTAATTTGAGTAATGGAGCGTAACATAACGTTATTTCTTTAGGGAAAATGTTTATGAAAGTTTTAAATTTTTGAAATTTTGAATCTGAAATTAACCGCCCCCCCAATATATTGCATATGCATTAGTTTTTGATCTCTGTTAACATGTTTTGAAACCCTATTTTTACCCAAAGACAAAATTTTCTCTTTAATGAATATTTAAAAAAAAATGAAAAATTACTAAGTAACTTAAAACTTGTAGAACTACATACTTTAATATTCCTATTTATTTTTATTAATTATTAATTTTTTTTTTTTTTTTTATAGATTGTCTTCACCTGCAATTGTACAGAGATAGCAGAGATCGTTATAAACAAGGACAAACAAAAGCTTCGTTATCATTGCAACATTTTTTGGGAGTTGAAACGGGTTTTACTCTAGACAAGGAATCTAACACAATAGCGATAATATGTCAAGATGTAACGGTTGTCCTAGCTTTCGACACTCGCGAAAGATTGATTCAATGGCAAGTTAAAATTTCCTGTAATTTGGGAGAAGATCAACAGTTTTTAGTTTTGGTATCCCAAGCACCATCAAAAGCGAAAATATCAACCGGACCCGCGAGACTCCATGTTCAAGAATTGAAATTTAGCATGACGTCGGGAGTACCACCTCGTTTAATTGGTTTTTGGGAAATCGGTCATTTGAGACGTTATGGAGTTGTTGAAGGAAGATTTTGCTTCGAGGGTGGTTCCCGATGTGGGAAAGGCGAAGGATTGTACGTTGTTGTGACGGATCAAGGTGCAGAAATCACGCGAACTTTACAAATGGCCGCACAGGGAAAATTAACGTCCCGACGCCGTCAAGTTGTTCGAAAAACTTCTGTGACCGATAGCCCGAGAAAATTACTTCATTCCAGACAAGAAAATCGAGTTCCCGATAACGTAAATGATAATCATAATGATTTCAACGATGGTGATTTACATAATCAGGCAGAGCAAAACGGCTCGCCTTATTGGTCTATAGAATCCAGACCCACGGATCTCGATAGTAATTACGGTTGTGGAGACACGGCTTCCGTCCATATGCATCAGGATAATGCTTGGCCCCACTCTAATGAAAAAGGTTTACCTCCTTCTTTGGAGAGATGCGTTAGTTGCATCAGCAAGTTAGGCGCTCCGACTTTATCACGTTCCTCTACTGCTAATACGTCCACACTATTTAATCCGGCTTGGACAATGGAACCTATTCCAGTTTGTTCTCATCAAAATCCTGTTTGGGCATCGGGAAGCGATCGTGCATCGGTTTCTTCTCACGGTACGGGGAGCAGTGGAAATTCTGAATACTCCGTGGCAAGACACTTTTGTGAGAAACAGATAGATAATAGAAATACAACACAGATTTGTCCTCCGTTGCCTCCGAAAGTAATAAATTCCGCAGTCTCACAAACGTCGTCTACTTGTAACTGCACCCCTCCGAACAGGCCTCCAAAACCTGTTAAAGAAGCATTAAATACAATGTCTCCGAGTAGGAAAAAAATCAAAAAACCTCCGATGCCCTTACCCGAAAAGCCTAAACCGGAAAACGAATCGCCTGGACCCTATGAAAATTATGATACGCCTAAAAATATATCAAATATATGCGACAAACAACCACTACACGATCCAAGCAATAGATTATCGATGTCTCCGACGCCGTGCGAACATTACGACACTCCGAGAAACATAAAAGAAATAATGAGTGCCAATGAGGTGAACAATTATGGGAATTACGACATTCCACCTCCGGCCAAAACAATTCGAAAACCTTGCGGCTGTGTTGTAACTTTTGCAAGACAAGCGACGGATTCTGACAAGAAATCCGAGTGTCCTTGTCAAAGAGTTCTCTGTTGGGCTGAAAACTGGATGATACTTCCATATTGCAGAAGGGGTCACGGAATAGATAATAATTCAGTACCCATTCATAAAGTGAAATTAAGCGGAGAGGGAAAAATGCCTGTGGTAAATCCTAGTGGAGAATTGGCCATCTACGCAACAATCGATAAAGCAAAAAAATTAAATAGAAAATTGGTTGATGAAGAGGAAAGCTCTAACAAGCAGAAAATGAATTATGAAAATATAATAATACCGAATAAGGAATGTGATGAAAAAATATCAACAAATTATGAAAACATAGAATTTGCTCAGTCGTTAGTTTTTTATGAAAATTCGAAAGACCTCATACACAAAATCGGAATAAGTCAAGAAGAATTAGAAAAATTGAGTGAAAACGTAGAAAAAGAAAGTGAAGTGACTTTTTCACTAAATAACGGCGTAAAAGTTTGTAATAAGTGCGGTCATGCTTGTGAGACGAATCCGGACAAAAAAGACGATAAACCCCCGACAACAAAAATTAACGTGGAACAAGAAAATTATTTAGTAATGAATTCTTTTAAAGAAGAAAACAATGCCTTTGAAAAACAAAAACCTGTTCAATCCAATTTCCCCGGGTATTTGCCAATGTTTCCAGGTAATAAAGCGGAACTTATTAAGCTTTTGGGTGACAGAGGATTTCCTGTTGAAAAGTCTGCCAGTGTAACTAGTCTGCCAATTATTCAAAAAGGAAAGAAAAGATCTGAATCGGAAGTTAGAGTTCCAGGTTCGGCGATGATGATTGCACCTTCGGGTAATCTTCACACTAGACGAATTATCGATGTTGATGACGATAGAAAAAAATTAGTTACAAGGAGGAGATCGAGTTCGGCAGATTCGTCCAGATATCTCGAAGATTACGATGAAACGGAATCGAGGTGCAGTTCTTTATCTTCTCCGTGCAAAATACCAAACGCTAAATTAAAAGCAACATCAAATTCTTTGACATCATTGCCTTACCAAAGTCCGAAAAAAGAATTAAATGATAAAAATAAAGATGGAACTGACGTTGCTGAAGAAGACTTATGTGAAAGAACAATCATTGAAAATGGAATCGCGAACGAAGAAGACTGCAGCAGTTCTGGTTCATTACAAACGTTAGTGCACGAGAGTTTAAAAGAAGGTGCGACTTCAAATGCCGTATACATTCGACGTTCTTCCAGTGTTCCCTGCAAAGCTGGAAATAATAGAGACAGTTCTAGTTCAAACGATTCCGGCGTATCGACGGGATCACTAAAACAGAGAGGAGATTTTGAATTCGAACTACCCCTCACGACTGCCATGTCAACGAAAAGACATCAAACCGTTGCTCAAAAACATTTAGGAAACGGGTGTCTCCACGCTTCACTTCCTCGCAGATCAAAATCGTCGGATCCGTTGCGGGAGCTCAGTTTTCAATTTCAAATGACAAAAATCCCAGCAAAATCATCTTCGGCGGAAGCGGAGGTTCCCGTTTGTACGACAAAAAAAGGTAATTCAAATACAAAGATAAAAATATTCATTCAAGATGTGTTTAATTTAAAAAAAAAAATATATTTTTAGGTTATTTTAGTCCAAATGAGGGTGTTCAAGTACCGTACATGGACTCCAGAAGCACAAGCAGCGGAACTTCCGATATGTCGGATTACATAGAAACTCTTTCGTTGTCTTCCCACAGTTCTTCGGATGCTCCCGATTCGTTTCCAAGGTGACAACCATTTTAAATAAGTTTATCTTATCATATTATTAATTATTAATAAACACTATATATATATATATAAATTTTTAGAATATCAAGAATAGCCGCAACAACTCTTAGACCACGTTCGGGTAACGAATATCATAAAATCGATCGCTCAATATTAAATGGAGAATTTGTTAAAGTAAGTCCACGTTTCCTTTTTATTTATTTATTTTTTTCTAAAATTAATAATAAATTATTTAAACTAAATTGTGATTTAATTTTTTTTAATTCGCAGAAAGGACATTATGCAAATATAGGTCCACTTCCAGAAAAGGCTGAATCCCCATCGCCCGGTTACATGAGTAGTTCACCTGCACACGAAGTGCAATACACGGACTTTTAAGTTCTCTTTAATTCTAGTCGTACATTTCATTTTTTTAATATTGTGGTAAACTATTTATATATTTTATATATATATATATACTTTCGAAAACGTTTCCCCCCTTCCTTTTTTCCCTCCTTCCTCCCTCCCCATTTATCCGTCGTTTTTATATATATTTTTTTCTTTTAGGATTATCAAATGAAAAATTCCAAAAATTGGTATTTTGTGTTGTTCTGTGATTTTTTGTTTTTTTTTTTTTTTCATTTTATTTTACTTTACTTTTTTTATAGTTTATTATTATTATTACTATTATTATTAATTTCAAAAAAGAAAAAAACTATTCAATTCTGTGTAAAAAAAGTTACTTTGTAATTAAGTATAAGGTTAGATGTTTAAAAAAAGTAAATAATTCAATTAATAATTAATTATTATTATTATTATTATCACGAGTAAAATTTTGTGATATTTTATGTGCTCTACAATCAAAAATCAATAATTTTTTCTCATAGAATGCAGTAAAAAGCAATAAGATTGTTCATTATGTGATTTTTTTTCTTTTTCTCACTCTTTTAATTAATATTTTATTAACAAAATATGATAAAACACTTTAAAATATTACATATTTTGTCTGTATATTATTACTCGATCTATTTAAATAACAATTATTGATTATTTTAATATAATATTAATTACAATCATCATGTTAAAATTACACAGAATAATTGATTTTAAAAGTGCATTTATAATTAAATTAATTTTTTCTCATTCATTAAAAAAAAAAAAGAAGTTAATTTTATAGTAATAATAATAATAATAATATTATAAATTATTTTTTATTTTAAATGCACTTTATAATCAATGATTTAAAATTTTTAATAATAAATATCTTATTCTCACAATATACATATTTAAAAAAAAAAAAAAATTATTGTATGCATTATATTTTAAATGTAATTCATATTTAATATAAAAATTTTTTTTTGTAATTATAACAATTGTTTTTTTTATGCCCTTACACACAAATAAATATATATATTGTCATGGTCCGATTCTTAAATTAATTAATTAATTAAATACGTTAATAGACAAACTTAAGATAAAACGAGGTACAGAGTAACATAAAATTCAAAAAATGGTTATTTATCAATTATACAAATATATATACACGAGTGTATGACAAATTGCATAACCCATTTTTCTAAGGATTTCCAATTTTTTCCACTAAAAACAGCGAAAAATTTGGTCTGATGTATCAGAAAAACATAATACCCAAGGAGGTCTAAAGTAAAGTTGAATTCAAGTAAATTGCAACAATGTGAATTTCCCCTCTCAGTAAATTGCAACATTGGATTCCCGCTTGTAAACAAGTAATGGCTGCCCCCATAAAATGTAAATAAACAATGGATTCCCGTTTAAAATAAACGTATACACTGGATTCCCGACTAAAATCATAATTTTACAGTAAAAATATCGAAAAATTTGACATAATTTTACAGTATTTGAAAAATATTGAAAAATGTATCAGAAAACATAAAATACAAGGAGGCAAAGAGTAAAATAAAATTAACACAACACATTTTGGCTCATAATAAAATGTAAACATTGGATTCGCGCATAAGTAAATGCAAACAATGGATTCCCGCTTAAATAAAACGTATACAATGGATTTTCGCCTACAGAGGTCATTTTTCACTGAAAACATTGAAAAATTTGGTCTGATGTATCAGAAAAACATAATACCTAGGAGGTTTAATGTAAAGTAAATTGCAACATTGGATTCTCCTTTATAAAAAATTGCAACATTGTGTATTTCCCCTCTCAGTAAATTGCAACATTGGATTCTCGCTTGAAATAAAATGTAAACAAGTAATGGCTTCCCGTTTAAAATAAATGTAAACAGTGGACTGTCGTTTAAAATCATAATTTTACACTAAAAATATCGAAAAATTTGGTTTGATGTATTAGAAAAACATAAGATACAAGGAGGAAAGGATTAAAATAAAATTCAATCAATGGATTCACACTTAAAAATATGGACGCTAAAAATAGGATCATAACAATATGTATATAAAAGGCAATAAGTAATAAATAAAACTGATGTTCCTGTTTTTATTTTATTATATAAATTTGTTATCTATAAAAAAATTATTATTAATAATAGAACGGTTTTAATGTGCTCCTTTTTTTTTTTGAATTACATGTTTTTGTTTTTTTTTTACTATAAAATTCAAAATATAAATGATTTTCATTGCGAAACAAATTGTTTAAATGTCACCATATTTTTTTCTTAAATTAAAAAAATTAATTAATTAATTAATTTAAAAATAAATAAAATTAATATATTGTAATAGTTATTGATTGTACTCTAAATTTTTGTCAAAAAAAAAAAAACAAATAAATAAATACTTAAACGAATCAACATAATGCAAAAGTTAAATTTAATTGAAGCATTTATTTTTTTCCTAGCCTCAGACATTCACAAACATTTAACATAAAACATTATATATATTTAAAAATAATAATATTTATTATATTCGTTCATTTTATTAAATTCTTAATAATTTATATAAAAGTAAAGAATAAAAAATGCTTACGTCATTTACTGTTCCAACATTTCAATCTCCGTATTATTTAATTGTTCTCCAGTATCCATTAATTCTTTTTTAGAAGAATGATATTTTTTCTTTTTTTTTTGTTTTTCTTTAAATTCAAAATCACATATATAATGATTCATATCTATATAACAGTCAGGCTTCAAAGCCATATGATATTCGGAGATGTTAATACCGAATATTTCGGGAATCATGAAAGGTTTGATCCAAACTACCAAAGGAGTCGATCCTGGAGTATAATATGCTTCACTATGATAAAATAAAATTCCATCTACTTCTAAATAATCAGATGAAAAATGTGAATCATTGGCTAATATCGTTGATAATGTCACAATATTAAAAGGATGATATTCCAATGCGAAAAATGGAAATGAATTATATTCTGACCTTTCCGAAATCCAAGGCATTTCCTTTATTTTAGACCTGATCCAAAAAACTCTAAAGCTGGTCTAAAATTAATATTTTAGTTTTAACATTTATAATAACAGCCATGTATGAAAAGAGACAATTAAATAAAAAAAGTATTTTGATAATTTAAAACAATAAGTACAATTGACTAAAACTAACCTCTGTGTCCATGTAAAATTGTCCTTTCCAGCTTAGTATATCTAAAATATAATATGTTTTAGATTGTGAATCCCATATACAATCTAATATAGTTACTTCCGAATTTGAGTATTTAGTTTTTTCATAATCTTTATGACTACCGTTTGGTAGAGCGGATTGAAATTTAGCCAACTGTTGGCCTTTTTTCCCATAAGCAATTGTACAGCCCTGTTAAAGCATTTTATAAGGATAAATAAAATTATTCTGAAAATAAATGTTATAAATTCTTTCAATTAATTAATAAAATTACAATAATGTTTAACCGAAAATTAATAATACCTTTGAACATCTCACTAAACATCTTTTTCCGACTGGACAAAGTACAAAGAGCCATTTATCTTCTAAATTATCAGGTACTTTTACCATCCACTCGGAAAACATAAATAATTTTTTTAACTTTGGTGTTGTTGATTTTGTTTCTGTCCATTCCATTGACTTATCGAAAGATATGTCTTCTAATGAGCTTTCATTTATATCATTAAATACAGTGTCAGAAATATTTCTAAATTCATTTAAAACATTTTCTCTTTTTCTAAAGAAAGTAAGAAAAAAAAAAAAAAAAGCAGTTAAAGAAAATTATTTAGAAGACATTGTAAAGGAAATATATATATATTATTGTGTTTAAAATCTATTAAATAGTAAACAATACTAATAGGCTTTTTACATTAATAATGACCTTTTTTGATTTTGTAATAGTTCAAGCCTTCTTTTTTCCTGATCATTAATTTTGGGACGATATTTATAATCTAATTTCCTACTACAATTCACATCTTCTGACATGTTTTCAAATTGATCTTTCACTTTTCCTATATATTAAAACTTAATAATAACTGCCTTCAGTTAATGAACGGCCATATTGCCAACTTTGAAATTATCCTAAAGCCCTGACTATGAATAGTATTAAAAAGATATAAAAATTTCAACTCTTCCGGACCCAAAATTTTTATCATAATTTCTGAATTAAGTTGAAATAAATATCGATGATCAATTGCGTAAAACTTAATTACCAAATTAACCTTTTTTATAAAGTTTTAAACCTGTTTTCAAAAATAATTTTTCACCATTGCTTTAGCTTCTGTTATTAGCCTCCAACTTATATTTAAAAAAAAAAGAAACAATTAAAAGCCTTTCAAAATGATTTAAGGGTATCTAAAAAAAAAAATTTTAAATAAAACACATAATAATACTTTTGTTATGATTTTTGTTCTTTATAAAACATTAAAAAAATGATGATATTTTATTTTAATTATTCCCAGTAGAGGAAACATTTGTTGAAATCGGTGAAGGAGAAGGAAAATAAAAATTTGATGTAGAATGTTCTTTAAAATATTCTCCTCCTTTTTCTTCATAATCTGCCTTTGTAAATAAAGTATCCTGAAATTCTGAAAGAGATGCTAATTTTTTCCCACCATTCCATGCGGCTAAAACTGGATTGTCTACTTTTGTTATTTTAAATGTTGATTTATGAGGCCTTACTTCCATTAATTCTCGATTTAATCTCTCAGCTAAACCAGGGAAAGAAGCGCATCCACCTGTTAAAAATATATTTGATACCAAAGCATTTTGTTCCTCTGCAGTAAATCTTTTAAGAACAAATTCGATTGTTTCTGCAAGACCTGCTTCAACATTTCCTATAAGAGCAGGTTGAAAAAGAACTTCAGGTGCTCTCATTCTTTCAATGCCAACATGAAGTTGATGACTTTCACCTGGTTCCATTGACTCATCGTTATTTCCACAATCAAAAGCTGGATCGTGATGTTTTAATACCTCTTCTAATTCATTCAACCTTTCATTTTCTTCTTCGCTATCTGATGATCCAGCATCCTGTCAATAAATTAAAAATTTTACAACTTACACTTTACTAAATTAAATTTTTTATTTTGAGATTTTCCTACCTTATTTATTGCTTTATACACATCCCAATCTTCATCTCTAGAACCAAAATTGTCATCTTTTTTGTCTTTTCTGGCCAATTGACTAATAAGTCTCATTCTTTCTTGTGCTGCAGCTGTTCTTCTCTGTGCTAAATCTTTTTTTCTTTGCCTCCTTGCCATTCTTTTATTTAAAAGCTGTTGTCTTTGTTGTTTAATATCAGCAAGCCAAACATCAAAATCTTCTCTTCCTTTTGGACCTGTAGAATTAAAATTATATATTGCATCATAATTTAATTAAAAAAAAAAAAAAAAAATTCTTTAAAAGATTTACACATAAAAATATCTAACGATACTGTTTGTAATAAATCGCACAATAATATAATAATTAATAAGGATTTTCTAACCGTAAATTTGATGGACTGGTTTTGGTTTATTATCTTCTAAACTTTCAGATGCTGTGTTTGCTGCTATTATTTTTTGTTTTATTTTTTCTATTCTTAATTCCACTATAGTTATTTGCTTATTGAGTTGAGTTATATTTGTAAGATCTAAACTATTTAAAGCTTTCGAAAACTCTTTCATTCGACCTTCTTCATACAATTCTCTAGTACTAAGCAAATTTTGTAATGATTCCTCTTCTTCTGCTAGCTGATTTTAAAAATAATAATCATAAGTAATTACAAAGTTTCTTTAAAAATAAAAATTTTCAAATTTTGTAACCTTACTTTTTCTTCTCTTTTCCTAGCATTTATTTCAATTAAACGTCTAGCTAATTCTTTTTTCTTTTCTTTTTGCTGTTCCACCGATAAGGGATTAGGTGTAACTGGTATAGAATATGGTAATTGAATAATATGAACATTTTCATCATAGTGCATCGGTTCAGCCCATTTCTTTAACTCTTCTTCATAGTTGACAGCGATAAATGTGTGATCATGTATGAGTTCCTAGTATTTAAAATATTCATTTGTAAAGTAATTATAAATTTTCAAAATAATAGAAAAAAAAAAAACTTGTAACATACCTCAGCTCTGCTTATTGTAATAGCATTAAAATGTGAAGGATATTTTAATTGCAAAAGCCTGTGAAGGTAATTAATAATATGAAAACCACCTAAATTAATTCGTCTCGATCTTCCAGGATCACATTTACCATTTAAAACTGGGATTATGTGAGTTGTATGATAACCGAAACTAATAATTAATCCATTTGCTAAATTACTGTAGGCTTTATAACTAAGGAGTGAGTCTACACTATAATTTAAAGCAGGAATGTTGTAACATTCAAATAACAATTCCGACATCACTGAAAAAAAAAAACCAATTGTAAATGAACTTAAGTATAAAACTGAAACATTTAGAAATTGAATAAAAGTAATCTATGCAATATTTATTTAAAAGGGTGTTTAGATTGTTACTTAAGTAAATGCATTTTAAAAAGGAATGTGAATCTGGTGGAACACTTACAATGCCTGCAATAATTAAGGTTTAGAAAAGGCTCGGTAATAAGAACGGGATGATCGACTTTTCCATCTGTATCAATTCCTAAATGTAAAAAAGCATAATCAAAAAGTTGTTCCTGAGCTTCCAAATGAGTAACGACATTTCTGTCAAATTGCATTTTAAGTTGAAATCTTACAGCCTCGATATTAACAATTTCATTTCCAACCTGAAGTTCACCTCCACTTTCCTATTAAATGATAAAAAATGTCTTTCAAAAAAGTGATCGAGTTGAAAGAAATTAAATAATTTTAAGTTTTTTAAATTTTCATAAAGTTTTTTTACCTTTTTACCTCGCTCTCTCCTTGTTTTAGCAATTAAATTTCGGAAAATTAATTTGGGCTTATTTTGTGTTGCCCATCCTATTCTGCACATGCATGAACCTTTAAATAAAAAATATTAGGGTAATTCAAAAAATGAGTTGCTTTGTAAAAAAAAAGAAAAAACTATCAAAATATTCACACCATTATCTATAATAATAGGAACTTTATTATTTCTCAAATCTTTTGTATACTCGTGTACAATATCAGGCACAGTTTTAGCGTCTTTTAACTGAAAAGTGTTCATGATACTTTAGTTAAAGTAGTATAATGAATTAATACTGATTTATACGAAGTAAACAAACTGTAAGACAGAGTAAAAACTACTTTATTAATACTTTAATTACATAGAGTAAATAAACAAAATTTGAAGCTTTTTGAAATGAATTAATTACATATATCCATTGGAAATTACAAATAACAATTTTTTGTCACTTAAATAAATAAAAATTACATATTTTCATAAAACTATAATACAAAATAATTTTTTTAGTAAAAATTTATATATATATATTTAATTAAAACAATGAATTTTGTTAAATTTGATTTAACAGTATACACAATAAAATTAAGAAGTCAATTTATAAATTTTATTCAAAATTTATGTTCAGCTAACGGATTTTAATTTTCAACTAACTTTTAGTCATACACACATACAAAAAACGTTTATGATTTATATACTTATATACATTTATACATCTACATATTAAAAATTTCACACGGGTTTATCTATAATAGCGACTCCTGCATAACTTCTTCCTATTCCCATGCAAGAAGGAAGCATTGACCAAGAATCAGTTTTAGGATTGTACACTTCAACAGACGCAAGATTTGAAGCTCCGTCATCCCCTCCCACCACGTACAACAAATCATTTAGGGCAACGACACCAGCGTTCCTCCTACAAAGGGTCATGTCGGTCACTGACGTCCATGTCTGAGTGACGGGATTAAAAGCCTCCACGCTTTTACGTACTAAAGGCCCATCGTGACCTCCGACAGCGTACAAAATATTATCTAAAACACCTACTCCTATAATGAATAAAAAACAATGTTTTAGTTTCGACATTAAAATTCATCGTCATTTAATCCTTTTGAAATTTTCTTTTTTTAACCTGCTCCACTTCTTCTAGCACACATTTCGGCGACGGGAGTCCACTTATTAGATTCTGGATTGTAACATTCTACTGAATTTAAACATTGTCGAGAAGCACCATCGTATCCACCGACCTAGAAGCAAAACTTATTTATAAATAAAAGAATATCTTTTAATCATAGTAATTTGTCTATCATGTAAAAATTTACCGCGTAAAGAAGACCGTGAACGACTCCGACCCCGACAGAGCTTCGCCTGGTCGACATCGGAGCAATTGCTCTCCATTCTCTGGTTTTCGGATCGTACATTTCTGCGGTGTTCAAACCCGACGAACCGTCAAATCCGCCAACGGCATATATACAATTATTTAACACGGCCACACCAAGAGTAGACCTTCGTGTTTCCATACTGCTCGATGAAAGCCAAGTGTCTAATATAGGATCGTATACGTCGACAGTTCGAACGCGAAGAGAGCCATTAAATCCTCCAATGGCATAAACTTTACCATCGATGACGGACAATCCAGCACGACATCTTCTTACAGGCATTTCAGTAACCTAAATATAATCGTATTAAATTAAAGTTTTTTGTTCACAATTTAAATAATTTTAAAAAAATATTTAATATAAATCTTTAACACTAACTTGATACCATTTTTCTTCTTTAAAATCAAAACATTCAACGCTTCTAATAGCCTTTGGTGCTTGACCTCCGACAACTAAAAGAACTTTTGGTAATCCAATCGGTTGCCGGGGTTTTGTTCGTGGAGTTTTGAACGAAGTTTTTTGTTCTCCTTTTAACAAATGATATTTAAGTGCTTCTATTAAAAAATCTTTACCTAAAAAATAATAGAAATTGTTGTGTGTGTGTGTGCAAATTGCAAACGAAACGAAATACGAAATTATTATTATTATTATTATATTTTTCAAAGGACTTACATTGTAAATTACATTTTAACAATGGTTCCTCTTCCACCCTTTGAACTAAATACTCTTGTGAAAGTAAAGGAAGTCTAACATGTTCCATTAATTTTGGAAGGTAATCTTTTCTTGTTTCTAAATCGTGATGTACCCAAGTAATAACACATTCGAAAACCTAAAATCAGAAAACAAAAGAAAACAGAGAGTTGTAAAACAAAATTATAACATAATTAAAAATTTAATTATGGTAAAAAAAAAATTACTTTTTCTTCTGACGGAACGGTCAATCTATCACTGCAAATTAAACGACAAACTTGTTGTGACGGTAACGATAAAAATTCTTCACATTCAACCACTTCTCTGAAATTGTAAGAAAAACATATTTTGTGATAAAATCCACATAAAACAAATAAAAAGGTATCAGGTATAAAACTTATTATAAGAGGATACAAACGTACGGAAAATGTTGTTCTATATAATTTTCTGCATGATTAAGCAAATCTAAACATCCATGCAGATCGGCAAAGGCTCGTATACCTAAACAATTAGTCGGATGAAGTTGTGCTTGAAGAAATTCGCAACAAGCATCTCGAACATCAGTTAACTGTAGGAGATTAGCTGCTGGCAACAATGCCTATAAAAAAAAATTGATAAATTAACAACATTTTTTATCAATCACTATTTTTTTGTTTCCATCAGTAATCTATTTTTAGCTTTTGCAAATAGTTTGTGTTTGAGTACCTGATAAAAGTATCATTTACAATGTCTATGATTAGATTGTTAAAATTAATTCAAAATAAGTTTGAAAGAAATAATATTTTTTAACTTTTTAAATATAACAATCATAAATAAAATGCAAAATTTTATTTTAAACATGGCTTCATGAAATGATAATAAAAAAGCTTCACTTTTAAAAAACAAATCTACATTACTATCACTAAAAAAAAAAAAGATGAAGTAGAATTATCAGACATTCTCGGTATAAAAAATTATTTTTTGGAATCCTACCTGAACATTTTGTTCAGTCACTTGTATTTGTGATGTGTAAACATAATCAATAAGAAGTTCGAGAGCATGATAGTCGACACCTTGAAGTGTTACTCTATCTCTAGCGCTTTCTTCGAAACTTGTGAACATAGCCACAAAGTAAGGACTACAAGCGGCTAACACGATTCTATGTACAGGAATTTCTCTTTCATCAGCTACAAGAATTACATCACAAAGAAGTTTTTTCCTAAAACAAATTAATTAATATTAATTTTAAAAGCAAATAAAAAAAAAAAAAACAAAAAAATGATCTAATACAAACTTTCTCATAGAATTTAAAGTTTCAAAAGCTGTTTGAGTGTGAAGTTTATTTTTATAAGGAGGTTTTTCAGGAATGAGCCTTTGAACATGTTTTTGAGAACTTTCATCCAATGAATTTTGACTTGCACAACGAAGGAGTAAATAGCTAAAAAAAAAAATAACAAAATATTAATTATTTAATAAACCAGACTAGAAATTATAACAATTTTTAATAATTTAAACTTGGCAAGCTTACAGTTAACCTTTTTTAACTCGATAAAACAAACTTATTGTCAACAAAACATATTCCCCAGCGAAAACAAAATTAAAAGTATGAGAACATTAACCCAATTTAAAAATACAATTACTTCCTACTTACTACAAATAAAATATTAAGTAAAATGTTAGCACTGCATTACAGTAGATTTTAAGCTGGGATTATTTAAATCATTTTTCATTTTCCCACCCCCCCCCAAAAAAAAGAAAAATAAATAAATTAACTAAGATATATTTACCTTTCTTGATTATCTTTGGTACTAGTACTAGATTCAGAATTTTTATTTGAATTGCTCATTTTTACAATAAATATATAATTGAAAATACTTTAAACACTTTATAAACGGTTTTATTACAAATTAAAACATTTTTTTTTTTAACTTAAAATAAATATTTGATAATAATAAACTGTGTGACCTTTTCCTTTAGCCTATTGAAGATCATAACATTTTCATTTTCTTTCACTAAAAAATTATGTCTTACAAAAAAAAAAAATAAAACCTGAAATTTAATTGGTCAATTTTATTATGATTTCGTGACGTCATTTTTTGTTTTCGTTTTGAAACTCGATAAGTTTTTCAATATTGAAAAAAAAAAACCCGCCAAAATTTTTAAAATTTTAAATTATTTTTTTTTTACTTTAATACAAATATTAATTATTTTATTTTGATTACATTATCAATTACAAACATATGGCGATTGTAATTTTTAAGTGAAAATATTTAAACAAAATTTTCTTATACAAAAAATTTCCATAATTATTATACAAACTTATTAAATAATAAAAAATGATGCAAAAATTTTTTTATTTTATTCCTTTTGATGTTTATTTAATTTGATTTAATTTTAATTGAATTTATTTTTACCTTAAACCATTATTATCATTATTATTTACTTTTAAATGACCTCAAGTTCTTAAGAAAGTAAAAAAAAAAATTTTCCACACACAAATTTGATTTGTTGTTGGTAGCATAAACTAAAAATTTTAGGCTAAAATTTATTATAAACATGCATTTGTATAATTTGTACAGGTACAAGGTACAATACAAAAACTTTATTACATTAAATATGAATGATTAAAATACAACTGTGTCCATTTTTTTTTTATAAATTTTATAACTGTTAATGCAATTGAAAATTTTTTGCCTTTCTGAACGCACATTTAAATGTTAACAAATGTAAACAATTTAACAATAATAAACTGATAAAAAAAAAAAAATGGACAGCTTTCATTTTTTATTTTTATTTTAATTTTATCACATCATGAAACATGCATTATTAACATATTTAATTTTAGTCAAATATTAATTTAATTACAAGGTTATGTAATATATAATAACCAAAAAACAATTTTTTTGTTTTTTTTTTTTTTTGAAACCCTTTAGCAAAAAAAAAAAAAAAAATTAAATTTGATCAAATTATTGTTTTAATGGATACCTGAAATCCCTTTTTACACTTTTCATTTCAAATAGAAAAATATAATTAAAAAAAATTAATCGTTGATTATCATTATTATCAACTCATGAATAGATTTTTATATAAATTAATTTTTTTTTTTTTGCTTATTACTTCATTAAAGAAGGGTTAATTTTTAACCTTTGATACTTTCAAAGGTTACAAATTAAAAAAAAAAAAAAAAGTTTCTAGTTTTTAAAAGTGAGGCTAATCGTGAAAAACCGGTAAATAATAATAATAATAATAATAATAATAATAATAATAATAATAATAATAATAATAATAATAATAATAATATCTTGTTTTTAAATGTTTGCGAAATCATATTCGTGAATTTGCACGGTCACTCAACCAGAAAAAAAAAAACGCTTTCTAAATTAAATAAAATAAAATAAAAATAATTATAATTTAAATTATTATTAACGAATTTAAAAATAAAAAAAAAAAATTTTTTCAATGCCCAATGCGCGGGTGTACATTATTGTCTGGCAGGTATTTAACACAAAGGGCGTGGTAATCAAAAGTAAGGTGAGGTCCATACAACACTCTAATAAACCTTTAGAGGCCAAGGTATGAAAAAACCTTTTTTTTCTCTCTCTCTCTCTCACACAATATTTTCCAGCTTAAATGATCGTCGTTAAATTCAATTTGATTATTTTTTTTTAAATATGTCATTAATTTTGTTTTATTTAATTAAATATATAAATAATAATAATAATAATAATAAAGTCGTGAATTTTATAGTTGAGTGTTTCAAGTTTACAAAAAGATATTACGAAAGTTTTTGCTTTTTTTTTTTTTTCCATTCTTAGTGAAAAGTCGATCACTTTCAATGTTCACGACACACACACACACAGAGAGAGAGACCACCATCGAGAATTATAGAAGGTTTCCTACATTTCAGGTTTCCAAGTGGTGAACCTTGCGCCGTTAGTGATAGGCCTACTTTATTCTGACCCTGGTGGTTCCCTTCTTTTGCATCATTGCAACCTTCGTTTAAAAAACTAAAAATCTAAAATAGATTAATAGAGTTTAATATTTCTAACAACACACATTCACACACGACAGCGCGTTTTCCCCCTAACACTCAAATTAAAAATTTTCACATTTGATAGTATTATTATTATTATTTAGAAAGGCTTAAAAAAATTAAACGTTAAAATATTTTCTATCAAGGTTAAAAAAATGTATTTTGTGCCAAATCCTGGTGCTAGATATTGTTCTTAACAACATTTGAATTTTAAACGGATTTGGACTCGTCAAGTCCGGTAAATACATTTTTTTTTTTTTTACGTCATTCATTATGTTTCATAAAAAGTTATTAAAAAAAAGGTTTTCTTTCTCTCCCCCCCTCTCTCTCTATCTCTCGTCTTTGAATGACCCGAAACAAACATAATGGCAACAACCAAGAAGTTCTTCTGGTTTTCTTTTCTATTACATCATAAAAAAAATTTTTATTCAAAAAATTTCTTAGAAACTTTAAAAAATGAATGATGATGAGAAGAAGTTGTTAAAAAAAAGTTATAACATAAAAAATAAAACGTGATTCATTTCCTTACAACAACAACAACAAAAAAAAATCATAATAATTTTGCATTCTTTTGCAACTATGAAAAAAATGAAATTAAATTATTATTATTACTATTATATTTAATGATAATAACCGTACTGTTGTGGGGTCAAAGGTTAAAAAATTTAATTTAAACAACGTTAAAAAAATTAATAGTTGTCGATTTGTTTTCTTTTTGTTATTTAAAATACGAAAAATAAAATTTTCTTAATTAATGACTCATATACCAAAAATAATAATAATAATAATAATAATAATAATAATAATAATAATAATAATTTCCGTAGAATAAAATGTTTCGATATTTTCAAATAATAATAATTTTTTTTTTTTTTTAAATAAAACAACTTTCAGAATTTAAAAATCACTGGTTTTAATTAAAAAAAAATTATTATTATTATTAATATTATGCTTTCTTTAAATGTTGCCAACTAAAATTTCGTGATAATGATAATAATAATAATAATATTAATAAATACTCTGTGTGTGTGTGTGTGTAATTATTAAATTTTTTTTTTTTTTTTTACCTAATATTTCCAATTGTGATGACACACTCCACACACATTAAATATTGCAATATTTAATCATATGCATTTTTATTATTTATTCATTTATTTATTTTACAATAAAAAAAAACTTGATATTCACATCAATGTCCAATTAATTACGTAAAGAATTTAATATCGAAAAAAAATTACATACGCACGGAATTATTATTATTATTATTATTAATTTTTGTCATACGGAAACAGGACTTTGAATGGTGTTTGGTTACCGGGACAATAAAAGGTGACCGGGAATTTTTACCGTAAAGAAAATCAATGGGAAAACCTTTTATAATAGATTTTAATTCAATTACATTCTTAGAAAAACGCCTCTCATAATTTAACCCTCACGTTAATAATTAAATAAGAAACATTTGACATGATAATAATAATAATAATTTTTTTAAGTACCTTTTAAAAAAAGGGTATTTAAATAATAATAATTGTCGTGTCGAATTTGATTTCTAAAGGTTTCAATGTCGATTTATTTATTTTTATTTTTTTTTTTTTAATAGTGCAAAACCAATCACTACCGGATTTGGTAAAACTATTGTTATTCAAGGACGAATAACATACATAAAAATTTTTATTTAAATAAAATAAAATAAATAATTTATTAAAAAAAAATTCAAAGGGTGAATTTAACTAAAATAATATTAATAATAATTTTTGCCATCGTTTAACAAACAAAATCAAATATTTTGTATATTTCACAACTAAAACTTTCTTTCCCTTCCCAAAGAAAAAGCTCTCCCTCTCTCTCTCTCTCTCTCTTTCTCTCACCCAGTAAAATCTAAATTTCTTTTTTTAATATTTGCCTTAAACAAAAAATAAATAAGATCCTATTAGAAAAATTTTTTCATTTGGAAAAAAAAAAAGAAAAATTTATGTAATATGTATATAGAGAGTTGAAGCCTGTTAAAGGCCATTCTTCGAGTGTTGTTGGTTGGTTAGAAGAAGTTGACAGAGTAGTTAATTCAGTTTATGGTTCGGAGTTTGCCGTTTAACACAACAACAACAACAACAACAACAACTTTCCACCTTTTTTTTTTTTTTTTTTATTTGTGTTTTCACGGTTGTTTAAATTGTTTTTAAATCGATTATAAAAGTGATTATTAGTGTTTAAAAAAATATTTACAATTGTTATTATTATTATTTCGACAATGTTTTTAAGCAAAAGTTATGAAAAAATTATGAAATCGATAATCAGTTTGTGAGAATATATATATAATAATGATATAATATTTAAAAAATTATTAATTTTTGACGTTGTTTGTTTGTTTGTTTGTTATTTGTCAGGTTAGTTTTTTTATTTATTTATATTCTTATCAAATTCTATGTACATAAAAAAAAAAAAAAAGAAAATTATTCAAGGTTTTTTTTTTTTTTTTAGTTACGTTTAACCACTCATAATTATTTTATTATTGTTTTAAACGATAATAATAATAACTCAGTGTTTACCTTATTATTATTATTATTTTTTATGTAAAAAAATTGATAACGATCATTTTTAATTTAATTATATATTTTTCATATTTAAAATTATATTTTAAACGTTTGTTAAATTTTTTTTAATGTGTTACGTAAAGCGTAGTTAATTAATTAATTAATTAAAAGAATTTCTTTTTATAAATAAATAAATAACAAAAGGTACAAAAAATGAACCTAAGGCATGAAAAATAACAACAATAACTAATAATGCACGCGTTGTAATAATAATTAATAATGAGTAGTAATTAAATTTTAAAAACGTTTTCTCTCTCTCTTTCTCATTGGTTAGAGTGAGTTAATAAACCTTTTGTCAAATTTTATGGTTGACCACAATTCTAACGTTACATAACACAAATAAAATGTTGGCTCAACGATGAATTGACAAAAAAAAAGTAAATTTTTTTTTTTTTTTACCAGGTCTCTTTATGAATGATACTTAATTAATAAATAAATAAATAAAATAAAAAAATAAAAATTTTACGTTGTTAGATGATCGCCTTTTTGCACAAAAAAAAAAATAAAACTAATAGAAAAAGGTAAACTATGGGAGTGTTTAATATGTGTAGGATCTCATGGTATGATGACAAATGTCTAAAGTAGGAGGATTTGTCAATTTATGTAAACAAAAATATGAATTTTTTTTTTTTTGTCACCCTGTTTGTCTGTAATAAATGATGATTTTATAATTTCATAACTAAATATTTGTATTTTATGAATTTGTTAAAAAAATTTTTTTAAATTGACCTCCAATCGATTATTAATTTCTTGAATATTTTATTTATTTTGCGTAAATTTAATTTTTATGCAACCTACGAAAATGCATTAAAGTTTTTCTTGTGTTTTCTTTAATAATTTTACATGACGATCATCGATAACGCCCAAATGTGAATAAAAAAAATTTTTATTTATTTATTTATTTTTTATATGGATTTCCGACAAATAATTTCTAATAGTAAATAAATTTTTTTTTTTTATTATATTTCCAGGAAAAATAAAAAATAAAATAATGAAAAAAGTTGTTTGTATTTTAAAACGATTGTTATAGAGTTCATTCATTGAATTATAAACTTTTTTTTTTGTGTTATCGAAAAGTGGAAAATTATTGTTTAAATTTTTTTTTTTTTTTTAAATCCATGAATGAAATAATATAGTGAAGTGCAAAAAAAAACGATTAGTTTAAAAAAAAAAAAAAAGGCAAATCATGTCAATTGCAAATTATACATTGCCATTAGCGGCTTCGGCTCCTCCGCCATTTATTGGTACACAAAATTATGGAACCGCACCACAAGCATCAGCAATCAATTCTCTATTATACGACACTCCGAGATTTACACAAACGAGACAATCTTATTTTCCTCCCTCGCCCAATAGGAGACAACCAACGAATTCTAGAAAAGTTAAAGACAATAGAGATCCGTATAGAAATCAATATCCTCAAAAACCATTTTATCAACCCGTTTCTAGCTCGACGACGACTCAAAAGAAAAATGTTGACGATTACGATGAATATTTTAACGAGTCGAATTACGAATTCGAAGAAGACTCTTATGATAAAAATTATTCAGAAAGTGAACAACCTAACCAACAGAAATATTCTCAAGAAACTTCAACAACAAGTTCAAACAGCAAAACTAAAAGAAAACTTTCTACGAGTCAACAGCCACCCCCACAACCTACTCAAAGGCAAAATCGAGAATTGCCAAGTCATCCGCCGACGTACAAAAGAATAGCAAACACGTTTAACAGTGTTCCTGAACCAGGTGCAAAGACTTCTTTACACGCCGTTTTGGATTTCGACGACGATTTTGACGATTATAGCTACGAAGATGAAGATGTTGGACCGGTACCGCCATCGTTACAATGGACACCAAAACCCCAGGTCACACCTATCGAGGGTCCAATACTAATTAAAAATGGAAGCGTTCCAGTCGTTCCTTTATATTCCTATCCAATAATCAATAACGGCACTTTAGTTCAAATTCCAGTAAGTATTTATATATATATATATATTTTTCCCTAATACAATCGTATAATTAAACTTAAATTAAGGTTTTTCAAGCGTGCATAATTTATGTTAAAAAATACCTAAAATGAAAATTTCGCGCCATTTTTTTTTCTCTTTTTATCGCGGTACAAAACGGAGGCGATAATTATCATCAACACGTTTAATTTAATTTATTTTCTTTTAATTGGTTTTCCCGACTAATGACTTTTCTTTAAAAAAACAAGTTAAATTTTTTTTTTCTTTCAATTTTGTTATTTAAAAAAAAAAAAAAAAAAAAATTTATTTAAAGGTAAAAAAAACTTGAATGTTGTAGAGAAAATAAAAGGGCAACCATGACTAACTAACTCGTATATAACTAAACATTCAGACAATATTTTATTACATAAAAATGGAAGAACAAGATAACCTTAAAATTTTTTATTCAGGATCACGCGATCAAGTTTTGCAACCGTTTATTAAAGTTTACGTGACAATC